ACGTTTGTGAATGATGGCACGATGGTTGCGAGATTGCGTCCCATCTACGGGCCATCCGATCCGGGTCGGATGCCACCCGTATGGGATATGATTGTGAATGTGGCGATGATATAATCGCGCCAACGTCCGAATGACAGGACGGTTATGGGCACCCCCGATGACTTGCGTGGATAGCCGATTGGGGTCGGTACTATTGCGTGACGAGGAACATACGGTTTTTAGAACCGCGCCAACGTATCCGCTAGCGACGGAGCGGATTCCGGGAGATGAGTCTCCCGAGGATAAGGCAATACATATACCTGAGATTCGGGTGGATTGTGGTCCCCCGAGGAGGTGGTACGGACTTACTCTGCCAGGTTCGGGCCCGAACCTGACAGGTATTTCCGCGGCGGATGGTCGGCAAGGGAGAGTTGCAGCGATTGGCTCTCTCGTTATAGTCGACGGTGTCGGTTGTAGCCGACGTCAGGTGAACTCCGGTATTGAGAGGTGACATCAATGCCGGAGTGGGGACACGCCTAGCATCGAGAGGTGCCATCGATGCTAGGGTGGGGTGATGTGTTCGGGCGGAGAAAATAAAAAGATACTTATGCCGGATTCCGAGTGGTTGAGGAGTAGATGGATTCCGAGGAGAGAGGTGGTTGTGCTATGCACATGGGGAGTACTTACCTACGCATGGTGCGCGTAGAGACGATTTGACGGACTCTGTCCTGCGACTTGTCGTATGGCCGACTTGTCGTACGGACTTGATTGTGATTGCTGCGTGCTTACAGTGATTTATGTGTTCAATTGATGTTTATTAGAATATTAGTACATACACACATATATCTATATGTTCGTGCTTTCCCTGGCACCATGAGAATGGAACTCCGGGTTACGCCCGAGTTCACTCTCTAAGCAATTAGCTTAGGATGTTGTTACGCAACGTTTCAGGTCGTGAGCAGCAGTAGCCGAGGAGCGGATATCGAGGACTGGTGTGACCTGCCGTGTGATCATGTATAATTATTCTCTACGGTACATTTACGTTTTCGGGGAACGGTTTGTGTTATATCGGTGGTAGACTTTTATGGTTTGTAATAATGTGATACTACCACTGTGTATGTATAATTATAACTGGAATAATGTACCGTATATGTATGTAAGAAAGTTTCTTCCGCTGAACTCTAAAAATAAAAGTTTTAAATTCCCGCGGATTTTTGGAAATGCGATTTTTATTTTACTTGTCCATGTGGCGCAACTCGTATTGCGGGATACGGGTTTCGGGTGTCACATATTAGCTTCATGATGTTTCATGTTTGGATCTTGTTCCCATTTATATTTTGGAACACTACCAAATCTTTTTCAAATAGAATTTTTAAGTAATATTTTATCACATAGAACCACATGGCAAAAAGGTGTAATCCTGTTTTAGCTTCCTTCACCATTTCTTACTTTATCCCATCTTTTCACAAAAATATAAAGCTTTCATCTTTTATATTTTTTTTCGTTTATTAATTAATTTCAAAAACAAATATAGCATTTCTGCAAACCCGGTTCTAACACAAAGTTATATATCGGTTATTTTTAAAGCATTAAGATTAATTATTTATTTGCGTTGAATTTTGAAAACCAATTAAAGAAACTTCATTGTATCTATTTTTCTTTTTGTTTTGTTATTGAAATTTCTTTATCAGTAACAATCTGTGAGTACAAATTATTTCTATGACATAATAGCAAATGCAAATAGATATATAAAAAAACATTTTCTTTTCTAAATTTATTCGATTTGTTATCTGTTTAATCGTTTGGATTTTAGGAATCAATATATATATACACCTTAATAATTTTTTTTTGTCAAACTATACCTTAATAATTTATATACACGTTAAATTTCGCACCATATATATTCACCATCCACAGAATATGCATACATATATATACGTATCATGTATAAGTGACTATATTCTCTCTCTATATATATGTATTTATGCATGTATGGGAAAAAAACCATAAATATATAATACCTAAAAAAATATCAAAGGATCGCTACTTTTTTACGCGCTTAGCTTTATACATACTCGTTTTCTTTTTATTTAGGTGTTTACATGGGAAAGGTATGGGGTTAGGCCGCGAAAGATATATTTCTTTTGTTTTTTTTTATTAATTTAAAAGGCAAAAGGTATAAACCAACGATGATTTAAGTACCAAAACACATAGAGAGGTATCTTTTGCTTTATTAGAATATTATAAAATAATATTTTTTTTTTAAAAAAAAGGAAGAAGATAACATCACTTTGGGAATTTTGTCGTTTGTGGCATAATCTTAACTCCTAAGTTGAGAAAAAAATTGTTACCTTTGCCCCAACTCATATTTCGAACCCACATAGTCTCGTCAAAGAATTGGTACACAGCCTCCAAAGCTATAGATACACAGATTATATATATATATATATATATATATATATAATCTGATTTTTTTTTTCAAATTCTAAAAGAAAAAGGATATTCTTTGTGGAACGTTATTTTGTATGTGATGGCACTTAGGCTAACAAAAGAAAACCCTATAAAATTATATGAGAAATTTCAAGATTCAAAGTATATATACACATTTTTTATGTGTTGAATGGTGAATATAATTATGTTGAGGTAAATGAATTAACCTAAAAAAAGCTAGAATTTTGTTTCAACCTTGTCCAATAGCGAAGCCACCCATTCGGTCAAATGTTGTCTTGATCACATTTCCACACGACGTCAAAAAAAAAAAAAATTTGTTGGGGCATAATTAGAAAAGGTACGTAGCATGTTATATACGACCGAACATGATTTTCTGAATGTCATTACGAATAATATATCAATAAGTGCTAAATGTGTTACACTAATGTGTATAGGCATGATTTTGGACTTTACAACTTATAATTAAATTACTTAACGAAATTTAGTATCCGTAGGAAAAAAATGATAAAAACTCCAAGATTTGTCGGTAGTCATATACTTTTATGATTATGTGAATCATATCCCTATGACCCATCTGTATAAACAAACATATCCACAAACATATACCCATAATTAAAAGATATTCATAATACGCACACAGACACACATGTCTGCGTGTATATATATATATATGAGTATATGTGCATGATGATGCATGGAATCTAAATTTATCCTCAAAAGCATGAAGGAAGATAAAGTTAGGCATGATTTTGGAAAAGTGTGCCAATTAAATTAATAACAAGAATTGCAGAAAGTGGGTGTCCCTTTTAAAGGAAAAAGTTTGAAGTCTTGTGGAAGCCATTAGAGAGTGCTTAAATTTGCTCTGAACTTATTCCTTTCTATCTTTTTTGGAAAATTATAAATAAATAAAAAATCAATAAAAAGCACCAATTTCCATGATTAAATTTAAAAAAAATGGGAAAGTAAAAGTCTTGTATGATTTGTAGGATTCAAGAAACACGTGGATGTCACTCTTGCTTTGGTAAACTCAAAGGGCTTTATGGCCCATTTGCAGATGATTAAGTAAATGGCCCACTATCTAATCACCTGTTCATGTTTTACATTTGTAAGCAGATAAAAATAATAATAATTTTTGTTCATTTCATGTTTCAATGTACTAGAAACTTTTTTTTTGTATGGGAATGGGAAATTCACCTTTAACGAATATCGATAGTTTTATTAAAAAAACTAACTGTGAAGTAGAATATGTAATTTCACCGGGAGATGGCTAATTAGGGTTTTTTCAGTTTTTGTTTTTGATTTTGATTAGTTAGAATTTAGAAATACTAAATTATAAACAAAATGGAACTGACATAATCCTCTTATGTTTGTGTTTTGTTTAGGTTTCATATAATTTGTTCGGCTTTTGAGAATCTATACATCAATAACAACAATAACGATATGGCATCATTTCCAAGTTCATTCGAGATCGGCCGCATGAACCAGAAAAAAAAAACTCGTTATGTTATTAATAATGTTCCTTCCGTTTCAAAATATTTGTAGTTTTAGGTTATTTTCTATGTTTCAAAATATTTGTAGTTTTACATTTTCAAGACATTTTTTTTATAAAAGTTTCCAATTTTATCCCTACTAAATTCCAATACATTATTAATGATTGCATTGTTTTTATCATCAAATAAGGGTATATGTGACTTTTGATCTATTTTCTTAAAAAATGTGAAACCATCTAAAATAACAAATATTTTGAAACGGAAAGAGTACAAATTATATGATCATACATATTCTCTCTCCAATATCCCGGGTAACCAAACCGGCATAATCCCATAATTTCAGCTGTTTTCACCTAATATATGTACAAATCAAATAATTCTATAAATTGAACAGTGACTAACTTTTTTTAGCTTTCTTTAAAAAATAATGTTTTACACAGTAGGATACCAAATTTTTTTTTTAGAAAAATTAATTAAATATTGTCTACTGACTGCAATAAATTGATTCTAGAAAATATGAACCTTATTTGGACGACGGACAATTAGGGCATGATATGGGAAACCCATCTTCGCAAAAGAAACATTAGAATTTTCTTGCACGTGATTGTCAAAGTGTTATATGCAATATATAAATATAGGCATATATATACACACACATACAGTTTTATTCTATGTTAAACTATATGTTTTAGTTCCGAATCATATTCAAAAGTAAATCTTTCAATCCAATTGATATGAATACACATAACAAAAATAACCAGTTTGAACACCTAATACCCCCCCCCCCAAAAAAAAAAATTTATTGAATTTGATAGACCACAGAAGAAATGAAGATATTAACAATCAAGAACTCTCCAACAATTATACGTTTTACCAAAAAAATTTAAAAAAAATATCTCGTCAAACGTTTCGATTTTTTAAAATTCTAATCAAAATACGCATAAACCTTTATTATTTATTTATTTATAATAACAACTCAAGGAAACACAAACCCATGTACGGTAGCAACAAATAACACGTTATTATTAATTATACATAACAAATACCAATTTAGGAAATAAACGAACCAATACATAATAAACGTAGAAGATATCATGAAATAAAAATAGCAGCATGCATATATGAACTCATATCAAAAATCGAAATCGCACTTGGTGGCAGGGAACACGCCAGGAGAAGAGTTCATAGTTCCATTAGAAGAACTCAAAGGAACCTTCAAATCGCATTTAACCTTAGGCTTAAACCTCCTCGTCTTCGCTTTCCCGAGCTTAAACCGAATCCGAAGCCGGAAATCGACTTCGATACTATAAATTCCGGAGATATTTTCCGCGTTAAATTCCCTCAACTCTTTGCTATTGAACATAACAAGCTGTTGCCCTCCGAACAAGGGTCTGAGTATTGTCGTGTTCTTGTGTCCTTGGTAAAACGGTATTAGGGTTACGGTACTAAACCGCTTGTCTTCGTAATACGCACGCGCTTCAATTCTGTCGTAGTAGACTCCGAGCCTTTTGTTAGGGTTTCGGACCGTGACGTTTAGGGCAAGGTTGTAACGGAGGATGTTGTCTGACGTGGCGTGTTCAAAGCGCGTGAGTGATGCGCTGGTGACGTGGAATTTTACTTTCTGTGGTCGGACTACTAGCCAGAAGATTAAGACGGTGAGTCCGAGGATGATGAGAAGAGCAATGAGTAGTTTGAGCAGACATGAACCGCAACCGCAGCGCTGTTGCCCTCCGAACAAGGGTCTGAGTATTGTCGTGTTCTTGTGTCCTTGGTAAAACGGTATTAGGGTTACGGTACTAAACCGCTTGTCTTCGTAATACGCACGCGCTTCAATTCTGTCGTAGTAGACTCCGAGCCTTTTGTTAGGGTTTCGGACCGTGACGTTTAGGGCAAGGTTGTAACGGAGGATGTTGTCTGACGTGGCGTGTTCAAAGCGCGTGAGTGATGCGCTGGTGACGTGGAATTTTACTTTCTGTGGTCGGACTACTAGCCAGAAGATTAAGACGGTGAGTCCGAGGATGATGAGAAGAGCAATGAGTAGTTTGAGCAGACATGAACCGCAACCGCCGCCGCCAATGCTACCGCGACTGCGACCGTGGTGGTACGATTTCTGCGGCGGTGGAATGGAGGGACCGTAATAGGCGCCGTTTAGGTGAGGCTGGTTTGCGTCGGCCATGTTGATATAGAGTATATATATGATATTGATATATTATATGATATGAAGTTCTTCAAGAGGTTATGAAATATATGCAATTGGTACAAGGGAATGTACTTCATATATATAGTTGTGGTTACATGGACCGTTTTGATTATTTATCTGCGTAATTAAATAAAAAAAGAGTTGTCGTTTTTGTCATAATCGTACGCGGTTATGTATTTGATCTTTGACCGAAGAATATTATGCAATTGTAGGCTCATGTCAATATTGATGTTGCGTGGTAGAGAAATTAACGTAGAAAGTTAGAGACCGTACGGTTGGATAAAATTTATCATTTATTAATTCGAACTTTTGGAATCTTCGATTTCATGGGTCATCACCAACCGAAGGAAAATGATTTCATTGTCCAAGCTTTGACGGGATCTCTTACTTTATGGGCTTTATGGGCTTTTTTTCTTAATGGGCCATCTTTTTTTAATGAGTTATCTTTCTTCATGGGCTTTTTTTTATTAATGGGCCTTTCGGTATTATTGAGTATATCCTTTACCGACCAAGGCGTGGACCAATTACGGTATTTGATAAATCTTTTATTTTGCAAAATAAGAGCGTTATTATCACGACGGGTTGTCTTGTCTGAACAGTGTCGGAAATATGATGTGATAATAGCAACAAAAAAAAGATAAAAAAAAAAAAACAAAACCAACGTACCAAACAAAGCATACTAAACGACAAAAACGATCCCATAATTCCAACATTTTTTCTTATTTTTTATTTATATTTCCAATTATGGAATCCGTGAAATTTCGTGATGGCGCAAATCAATCCCACAAGTCCGTACTGAGATGCTCTTTCCTGGCTCGTATAAAAGCAAATCCTTACCCATTTCGATACGAATTGGAACCGCCTCTCAAATTTCCCTCTTTTGAATCATTCATTTACACATTTCGAAAGTGATATATAATATAAAAATGGAACCAAAGTAAGTAATAAAATAGTATATTTTAATCTTACGTAAAAATTATTTAGGTATAATCTTTGAGAATAAAATACACCACAATAAAGTAAACAACTATATAAATAATAAAATCAACGAATATATATAAAGTATTGATTAATTATTTCATATTGTCTATTTCTACTTTCTAGAGCTTCTCTAAATGAACAATCTGCCAACAATCAAAATCGATGGTCAATTTTTGTCCTCTCAGAACAAAATATCTGTTAACGTATGCTTAACTAAGAAATTTGGTTTTGATTATATTATTTTCCAAATAATATTGTTTGCTGTTTATTACTATTAATAATTTGGATTCACATGTGATCGTTGAATTCCAACTATTACAGGCAACTTATGAAATAATTATTTCCTCTTTTTTTTTTTTTTTACAAACCTAAAACATCTATTCGGAACTAAAAAATTACCAATTGTCAATTTCAAGTCACCGCTGTTAAAAGTATAGTTTTTCGTTGAAAGCCAAAAAATGTTACAGAGAGTGTATCCGGTCTGTCCAATTTATAAGAATATTTGAACCATATTATGTATCTAACGTTTTCCATATAATCCATAAACTAAAATATACTTTCAATTTTTAACCCGTATTCCAAATATATATATATATATATTATTAATGAACTTCATAAATTTTTAATTGGACATTAATTTTATAATGATATATATATATATATATGTGTGTGTGTGTGTATGTAACCACTACATCTATATTTGGAACTATAAATTACTAACAAAATTCATAAGATCAATTAAATAATATTTAAAGAGCAATACATTAGATAGAGATAATGAAAACACAAAACACTATATTGGCATTTACAATTAAAAGCCCGTACCCCATAGTCATAATCATATATAATCATAATAACTTTACAATAACCGACTAAATTTTAAAAATTCAAATATCGAATTTCCAGAATACGAAAAAAAAAACAAATAGCATTACCCTATTGGAAGAACAAGAAGAAGACGAAGGAAAGAAACGATTCCGCATACGTAAACCGACTTAACACCGTCAAATTCGCCGGCAGTCTTCAAACGCTGACGCTGACGCTGCACTTGGTGGCCAACGTATACTTAACGGCGTTTTCACCGACAATGGTACCGGCAGCTTGATTCCATGGATTGATATACGCAGGGCAACGAATACTGAGATGGGACCTTCTTGAGACAATCCAAAACTTCCATCTCACGCGCCCATCGGCGCATATCATCAACGCGACGAGCCCACCATTCTGTTCGCAGGAGAGGGCGGCGCCGTTGAGCGGAGCGATGGAGACGGAAGTTCCGTACACGAACGGAGACCAGACATTGTGTTCCTTGTGTTCCTGATACGTGGGAGGAATGGTTGTGGGGAAAGTGATCTGTTGGTCCATGTAAGAAGCGTAGACATGGAGATAGTCGTAGTAGATTCCGGTTTTGGGATTAGGGTTTCGTGCTGAAATGGTGATCTGGAAGGTGGTTGTGAGGAGGTGAGGTGAAGAGAGGTTGAAGACGAAGACGGTTACGTCTTGGAGGATGAATCTTGGCCTAGTGGGCCATAGCCATGGGATGTGAATGAGAAAGACGACTACGATCAATACGACAACGACGATTCCGCTGCAGATACATACGGGTTTGGCTTTTATGTTGCGGAGACAGCCATGGTTACCGCAGTCTTCTGGCATCGTGGTATTTACGGTTTTGCCACTCTCCTTCTTTCTCTCTGTATGTGTGTGTTTCTCTCTCTAGGTGTGAGAAATGATGAGGCTTGTGATCAACTTGTGTGTCGTGTGTGTGTATATATATTGTAAATGTATATGTGTTTGCTATGTGAAAGCCATATTTGTCTGTGTATTTTATGTGTGTGCTGTGAAATTATAAGTTTAGAGGCCAAAGTTTCGAACTTTTAAGAATTCCCTAACAAGGCTGTTTAAGGAAAATGAGTGACCTTTAGCGGTTGGTTTATTCTATCTAATATTAAGTAAAATGGTTTGATATCTTAATTAAAAATAGTGTGTACAAAGTTTTTATTTCGTCACCTAGTCAACACCAAGTTTAAATTCTAAAATATTATGTCATCTGTTTTAAATACAATCCAATACCTGTATATTTGTGTATGTGAGTTTGTATATATAAATGTATATGAATATATGTATATTGTGATATTTTATTTTTTTTCGTATTTTGTGATATATAGTGTTTATACAAAAAAAAAAGATGAGTTGATACTTGATAGTGACGTGGCGAATAAAATTCCTGATTTGCCACGTCAGCCTGTGCAGACGGCGTTAACGATTCTTTGAGTCCCTGCTTGAAAATTTTAATACAAGACAATAAATTTTTAATTTGTTGGATAATTTTATTTTTGACGAAATAAAATGAAAGATATAAACAAAAGACCTCCCACAATTCAAAAATAAGAAAAACATGCAAGTTGCTAGTTGAAAAGTTATCAAAGGCCTCACCCCTTCCATTTTCACTTCATGATTTTGAATTGGTTTTAAAAAAATTACAATTTAGGTTGAGTTCAAAATATTTAATTTATTTTCTATAAATAAACAATTCTAATGACAACAACAATAACAACAACGCATGATGTTAGGCGCCATTTGAAAGAAAAAAAATGTGTCGAAAATCTACAGTATTCAATAACAATTAGATCATGCAATGCATCAATGTTCTATGAATTTAGTAGACTTTGATATTTTTTGTTATTGGGTTGGGTGTTTTATTTCATTAACTGGATTTATTAGGAGTTTTAGGATCATGGCCCTAGGCCCGATCGGCTATAATCTTTGATAACCCTCCGCATTCAATGAACATCAATGCGTCCTTCCACACATATATTTTTTTGGAGCGGACATGGCGACGATATCATGTTCTCCACATGTGGCATGTGGGTAAAGGGTAAACGTGCATGACATGACATGAACATGACTGTAAACACAACTGAGTCAACCCTAATAACGACAAAAATATTTATTAACTAATTAATATTTAAAACATGGGAGACAGATGGATTCTGTAATTCTTAGAACGATCTAACCATATAAAAAAACGTATAAACAGATCAAACATGTATATATATATATATACCATACAATAAGATCGAGTTCTAAACACGAACAAGTGTAGTTTTGCTTTATATTTCTGCTCATCATTAAAAAAAAAACGATACAGTTCTTGGAGGCTACTAGCTATGGAGGAAAATCACCAAATGGTGCAGGTACGTTTTCATTCTCGACCATTGTTCCGTGCCATGTATTGCTCGATGTATTGCTACGAGTGCAAGGAATGGGAAAATTTTCTGTGGCCAACGACCACGCAAGAGCCGAAACGTTTCGTAAGAAATAAACAAAAGGGGTATCATTACTATTGCAAAGACTGTTCTTGCGCTTTTCCATGGAGATGGGTCGAAGAGCCTCGTCCCGAGACGAACCATCATCTTCACCCGAGACACCCTCTCGTCGAAATGTTCCCTTGCTTGTTGTTCGATCCCAAGAAGAACTGCGATTTGTGCGGGGAAGAGATTTACTGTCACTTTAAGACATTTTACCACTGCTCCATATGCGATTTCAACCTACATCTCGAATGTGCGAGGAACTCGCCACCTCCTGCAATGGAGGAGCCGAAGTGCCATGACCATATGCTCACCCTCTTGCCCCGGAGAATGTCCTTCTCTTGCAATGCCTGTGGACTGCTCGATGATCGTTATCCTGCTTACGTCTGCATACCGTGCGATTTCATGGTCCATAAGGACTGCATAGGCTTACCGCACGTCATAAAGATCACGCGTCACTCTCACCGTCTCTCTCACACTTCTTCTCTTCCTCCCGGGAAATGGGTTTGCGGAGTTTGCCGAAAAGAGATTGACAACAAGTACGGGCAGTACTCTTGCATCAAGGGCTGCTCTTACGCCATCCACTCGAAATGTGCAACGAGGAAAGACGTGTGGGATGGGAAAGAACTCGAAGGAGTGCCCGAGGAGCCTGAAGAAGATATCGAGCCGTTCAAGAAGATCGATGACCGGACCATACATCATTTCAGTCATGAACACTATCTTCTACGGCTCAGTGAGGCACTCGAAGAATGCAATAAGCTCTGCGAAGCATGCATTCGTCCTATCCAATCCGGTGACATCTACTACGGCTGTATGCTGCAATGTGATTTCACTCTCCACGAGAAATGTGCTAATCTTCCACGTAAAATGCATCATGCGATACATAAGCATCCTCTTACTCTACTGCCAACCGATCCACAAGCTTCAACATATGTTCGGGTAGCTCAGGTCAAGGGTTCTTTCTCGTGTTCTGCTTGTTCTCGGATCAGTTGCGGTTTCAAGTACAAGTGTTACGAAAAGGGTTGTGGTTTCAAAGTAGACGTACTCTGCGCTTTGATTCCCGACCCATTGACCCACAAAAGCCATGAACATCCATTGTTCCTCACCTCGCAACAAGACAACATAATCTGCAATGCCTGCAAAGGATTGGACTGTGTCCTAAACTGCGTTGAATGCGACTTCACCTTGTGTTTCACGTGCGCTTCTTTGCCGGAATCCATCGACTACAAGTACGATAGACATGCCCTGGTCCTCTCCTGTGGCGAGGAAGAAGGACGGGCCAACGGTACGTACTGGTGCGAAGGTTGCGAGAAAGTTCTCGATCCCAAGACGTGGTTTTACACGTGCGACGAATGTTGCGTCACTCTACACAAGGCCTGCGCTCTTGGAAGGTATCCGTACATGAAGCCGGGAAAGAAGATCGGATTCGACGGTTACGAGTTTGATATTGCTTACAACAATGGTAGCTCTCGACCAACGTGCGTCGTATGCCGTTTCCGTTGCGAAGACACGTTAGTTTTCAAGGGTCTTACGATACACACTTGTTCCTTGTTCTGCACATTATATGGGATTCCTTGGGCTTTAGAAGTGTGCAGATAAGATTTAATTTTCGGTTTTCGGTTCAATCTTTTAAGAAACATGACATTGGTTTGGTTTTGTTTTTATTTGAATTTCGGTTTATTTCTGGTTTGTTGTGGTTTTGATTTCATTCTTTTTTAATAACTGGGAATCGACAGCCACACGAAAGATGTAAACCGGTCTTAAGCGTCCATAAACGACAATCTCGATTAACCGGATTGGGTTATGAACTTCAATTCTTCTTAGGGCGTTGGTTCCAGCGTCGTGGCCTTTTATCTGATGTATGGATTGGAGTCTCTGTTTCTGTCGAACACGAATATCACCGGCTCCATTTCCGATGTCTTTCCTAATAACATAGATAGTTTTGGTATTACGAAAAAAAAAAAGTATACAAAATCCGATTATATAGTATAATTGTTAACGAAAATTTTAATATAGGTTGCAAAGAACCCTGAAATTTTTTTTGTCGCATGCCACGTTACCATTACATACGATTATAGAATTAATAAAATTTTAAATGATGGAGATAACATTTGTCATTGACCTTTATCCATTATAAAACCCAAACAGCCCCTGCTTGAGTGAAACTTTGTTTGATGATATCGTTGAAAGCAAAACGATCGAAGGGGAAAATGAAACCCAAGTTTATAGTTGCGTCGGTTTAAATATTTTATGGTGTTTTGGTATAAATTTTCAGAAGTTTGAAAACTATATGGAAATATACACTCCTCTGCTCCGTTACAGAAATGTTTACGCAAATTATATAGAAGTATTTACGTAAGGGGGGGGGGGGTATATGGAAATATAGTTTATACAAATACATAGAAATATTTACAAGAAATTGGTAAATACAATCTGCTATGTATATACAATAACATTCGCCTAAGATGACATTAATACCCTAATGAAACCACCCAAAAGTCCCGTTCAATGTAATTGTCAAAATTGATGCTTTTATATATATATGAAAATACGTATGCATCGGTACAGATCATCGCCAAATCTTTTATATATACATGTATATAAAAGACTAAGTCGTAAGTCCATCTTCCACAGGACAAGCTAACAAAAATATACAAATGGTCAGAAAATATCTTGATTTATTCCCTTTCAAGACAGAACAAGGAGTTGATTTTGTCGGAAAACGATATCGTCAGTCTCTGTAGCTTTCAGTAAGCCGGCCAAGGAAATGATGGTTTACACGCAATCACATGAATCAGGTGACTGAGATATGTATTTTTTTGCATTAAAGGCAATGACTTTGCCACTACGTTAACTGCAAGTCTAGAGGAATTCCAACGTCGAACGAACCAAACTTCTCTTTTTAACTTGGTTTTTAATTCCCCTAGCTCTCACAATGGGGCGGTTCTATTTGTTGATATGGGTTGTGATCATAGTGGGAAAGATGCGTGGATACAGCTGCTGTATCCAGAAGGAAAGAAAGGGTTTGCTGGAGCTTAAGAAGTTAAGAACTTCCTGTACAAGGACAGTTCCCTTGAAAACGACCGGCTTGATAGCTGGAGTGATGTCACAGAGAGTGATTGTAACTGTCGACAAAGAGTTTCGTGCGATCCCACGAGCAAATGCATGATCCGGCTTGCTCTGGAGTTCACGAATTTCCGATTATCATATCATCCCCTAAATCTTTCTTTACTCCATCCCTTTGAAGAGATGCACTTTTACTTTCATCATAAGTTGAAGCTGAATTCAACGGAGAAGCATTGTGTTGTTCTAAAGCATTTAGTTACACTTCAGTTGAGTGATCAATCTTTTGTCTTTATAATCACAATGTGGGTGATCATTAGGTTACAAAAGCCTCGGACGCTTCAGAAAACTTGAGATTCTCGATCTCTCTTACAATCAATTCAATAAGAACATCTTTCTCTTCCTCAAGGCTGCTGTGTCACTTAAGACCTTGAACCTTATTGGGAACAATATGAATGGTGCTTTTCCTATGGAAGGTATGTTTTTTTTGTTTTCTTTTATAACCTGTACATCAAATTTGTTGTCTGATTGAATCTCATATGATAAATCTCCATGAGAAGGATTCGTATCATTCATATCGTTGTATTCCTGACGCCGGCTTTCTCCTCTATTTGTCTTTTAACTCTGCTGCAGAAGTAAAGAATCTGAGAAATTTGAAACTACTGGATCTAAGTTGGAACAGTTTGAGTGGCTCCCTGGACGAGGTATTAGTAGTATATTGAATCTGAGTGAAAACACTGTAAATCCTTCTCTTCCAACATATTTTATCTTCATCGGTAAGAAATTTATTGCTTGTAAATTGATTCAAACGGCCAAAAACTTGCAGATACGAGTCACTTTTACGTTTCTTGAAATGATCTTTTCTTGGATTGTTTCTCTTGTCGTGCAGTTAGCCAATCTGCCTAAGCTTGAAGCCCTGGATATAAGTTATAATGTGTTTACGGGCACTAGTTATGTCGGTCACAGTTTGAATGACAGAAAGATAGTATCTCAATGCTCTAGAGTGAATTTTGTTGATTTCACATTGGTTTACTGCAGGAATATGCAAACTGAAAAATCTGAAAGAGCTTGATCTTAGCGAAAATGAATTCGTCGGTCAGCTTCCTCTATGTTTAGGTAGCTTACCCAAGCTCCAAGTTCTTGATATCTCATCCAACTTATTAAGTGGGAAGGTGGAGTTTCCTATCAGTAATCTTGAGTTGCTTGAATATTTGTCGCTATCCGATAACAACCTCGAAGGCATATTCTCTTTCAACTTAATCGCCAACCTGTCGAACCTCAAGGTGTTCAAACTTTCATCGAGATCTAATCGGCTTCATGTAGAGACAGAAACTTCTCTGCAACCAAAGTTCCAACTGAGTGTTGTGGAATTACCAAACTGCAACCTTGCAGAAGTCCCAAGCTTTCTCATGCACCAGAGGGGCTTGCGTCTAATCGATCTTTCCAACAACAGGTTGTCTGGAGCTTTCCCCTCTTGGCTGTTGGAGAATAACCAAGATCTTGAAGTTTTGCTTTTGCAAAACAATTCATTCACTAAACTTCTGCCACTGCCAAGACTAGCACACAACTTGCAGGTTCTTGACGTTTCGGTCAACTGTATTGGTGATAATCTTTCCGAGGATTTTGGACAAATATTCCAAAATATAAGGCATCTGAGTCTCTCCAATAATAGACTTGAAGGTAATTTTTCTTCTTTTTTGGGAGAGATGAAAAACCTCCGTTTTTTGGACATGTCTCATAACAATCTCTCAGGGAGCCTGCCGAGAAGCTTTCTAATGGGTTGTTATTCGTTGGAGATCCTCAAGTTGTCTCACAACAGATTTAGCAGCCGACTTTTTGCAGAATCGACAAACTTGACTTCTTTGAAGGTGTTGAGTGTGGACAACAATCTGTTCACGGGAAAGATTGGAGATGGTTTGGTGAATCTGAATTCGCTGCAAGTTCTCAACATCAGTAACAACTGTCTCTCAGGCAGCATACCAAGTTGGCTTGGTAACTTATCTTGGTTGTCTGTTTTATCAATTTCAAACAACCTTTTACAAGGTGCAATACCCGCTTCATTTTTCAGCAGCCGCCTACTCAGTTTCTTGGACCTATCTATGAATATGTTATCGGGGAGCTTACCTCCGCGTTTCAGTTCCTATGTTCGGGAGCTTGGTGATGTACCTGGACAATAATTATCTCACAGGGTCTATTCCGGACACATTGCTGGGAAACTTTAGTGTTCTTGATCTCAGAAATAACAACTTGTCTGGGGATATTCCACATTTTGTCGATACACAAAGCATCAAAACTCTTCTGCTGAGAGGCAATCACTTAACAGGACACATTCCTATGAAGTTGTGTGAGCTAAGCAACATCATGCTTCTGGATATTGCTCACAATAGGCTTATTGGTTCTGTACCTTCATGTCTGAGCAATTTTTCCGGAATGAGAGGAGAGCCACTTGATTTTTCAATTGGCACGTACTTCTCGTTCGATCTTAACATGGAAAAACGTTACAAGTCCTTGCTTCTTCCGGACAAGTCCACGCAAGACTTTGAGATAGATGTGCTGATTGAGGTTGAATTTGCAACAAAACAGAGGTATTATTCTTACACCGGGGGTCCTCTTGGTTACATGTTTGGATTAGACTTGTCTAACAACGAATTAAGCTTCTCCAATCTAACGGATATAGAGAGCATCGATCTTTCTTTCAACAGGTTATACGGGAGAATCCCTCCTCAAATGACTAACCTTGATTCTCTTGTCATCTTTAACGTCTCCTACAACAATTTGTCCAGCGTCATTCCGCAAGAAAAGCACTTTGGTACGTTGGACGAGAGCAACTACTTGGGTAATCCCCTTCTATGCGGACCGCCGACCGATAAAAGTTGTGATGCTAACGGCTCGGAAAAACAAGGTCATGCAAGAGAAGATGATGAAACCGCAATCGATATGGAGGTATTCTACTGGAGCTTATCTGCAACCTATGCGTCGGTGTTAATGGGATTTCTCATGTTTATGTGCTTCGATTCTCCTTGGCACCGGGCCTGGTTTGGCATTGTTGATTCATTCTTCTATACGGTGAAAAACATGTGGTTTTAGACAAACTCAGGTTGTTGGTAAGTACAAGTACCTTGAGTTGTTGTCCGAAAGTATCTATGGTCAGTGTCGTCTAGCTTATAAAGCAAACTCAGGTTGTGCGTTTGTGATACTGAAACATATCGTTCAGTTAAGTTTTGTGATTGCGTTTGTTTCGAATTCTGTTGAAAAATATATGCTGAATAAGACAAAATAGATGAAACAGTTGTTTCGGATATATATTTATGCATCTTGCACGGAGCTCAGGTCCCTGAATCTCACCTGATAACCAGTTCTCTCGTCGGAAACAGATTTTAACGGCGAGATCCCGATGGATACACTTGTGAAGGTACTTTTGATCTGTCTTTCAACGAGTTCCCTGGTGTTTTGCCGGAATCTCTCGTCGAACCTTGATGCTTCGACAATGCCAAGAGCCGGATCAGAGGTTACGGCGGCTAGATCGAGATCTGAGGCTATGGCTGAACTACCTAACCAGGCGAATCCCGACAAGCATAGGCTCTTTCCCGAAGCTTCGAGATGTGAAGCTATGGCTGAATATCCTCGATCCCGCAGGAGCTGATGTACATCCAGACACAAGAGAGACCCTGATCCTCGACTTCAGCGACTTGACAAGGGGGAGATTCCTTCCGGTCTAAGCAATTGCACCAATCTGAACTGGATTTCCTTGTCGAATAACCGGTTAACCGGTCGGATCCCTCGTTAACCTGGCCGTCCTCAAGCCCAGCCTTACTTTGTATATTCTGAACCTCGGTCATAACAATTCTCGAAGAGGACGTTTCAGTGCATAATTTCCAGGGATATAACAAAATTAATAATTGCAATCATCAATCTATAAATATAATGGTCAAAACTACGGAATATAGTTTTTGTTTTGCAAACGATGAATATTATGAGGTTTTAGAAAAAAAAATCACATGGGAATGAAACAGAAAAGGCCAAGGTTGAAAATAAGTATGAATTAGGAAGAAAAACTCAAAACAACTGACCGTTAATGCAACTTGATTTTGTCGGTTTAAAAATAAGAAAACATCAAAACAAAACAAAAAGTTTTTTTTTTCCAAGAAAAGGAGGATAACAATATTATAATATTAAAAAAAATAATTTGGGAACAAAAGTAATAAAGGAGGAGGCTGCTGATAATGGGATTCTGAGCAGACCCATCAGTTCGATACATTCAACGACTTATATATATATATACATATATGCATATATATAAGCATTTTGTGTCAATACACGTAATTCATCCTTATAATTTTGTTTCGGTTGTATATGGTAATGGGATAATGACGTAATCAGCTTTAACTTAATTACCATTTGCACGATGTGTAATCATCACAGACTTTGAATCTCGAAAAACAAACTATTGTTTATTTAGGAAAATTTAGAAGCTAATATTTTTTATTTCGAAACTAAGGTCGGACATTGTTTTTTTTCGTGTTTAAAATTTTGAATTTGGTATATAGCAAAATCTGATCAAGATAATATACAATTTTGATTAAATATATATTTTTTAAAACTTAATCCTATAAATTCAAATAAAATTACAAATAGTACAATTAAAAACGATTAAGTATAGATTTTTTTAAAATTTTATTTATTCGTAATCGTCTAAATAATATATATATATATATATATGTATATAATATAATAAAAAACTGAATAAAAATTATTTGTTGCTTATTATAAGATGTACATGAACAATCCATATACCTAGAAAAATAATATATGCATTTATAGTATGCGATCGATATATTTAGAATCTAGAATGAGATTGAGCGTTGCTAGCTTTTAAGAGAATCAAATCCAATATATTTTATAATATTCTCATATCTACATATTCGAATCCGCAATTATGTCATGTGGATGAAGAATAAATATTTTCAAAAACTGAACTATAATAAATATGATTTTTTATTTTAAAAAAAGAATAAATGTGGTTTATTAGAGTGCAGCTCTATTAATTATCGACAGAATAGGTTACATTCTAAAAATAAATTTGACATAACTGATATGTTCTTTTTTCCTAAAAAAATAAAAAAGTAAATTCCCATAAGAGAATGTCAAAAGGGGGTGGCAAAGGGGGGAAGAACAAAGCCATTATGCCACGTGACTAAAATGAATACACACGACTTCACCACCGCCACGACTTATTATTATAATGATTATTATTATTACTATTATTGCATTTTCCCTCGCCGTTTTTTCATCTTGGAAAAGTCAAACATCTCCCTCTTAAAAAAAAGTCAAATCTTTTATTTTTATTTTTAAAAAGGTACAGCTTTTATTGTGGGTATAGTATTTGTATTTTCCGTGTTATTGACTTTTTCATTTTTATTTTGAACACTTCCCTTTGTCGTCGCCCGTCCACTTATATATAAACCAAAACCCTCCATTCCTCTCTTCTTCAAAATCAAACCCAATACACAACCACCAAAACTGCTGCACTTAGATCCCTTTGTCGATTTCCCTTCTTGGGTTCTTGTTCTTTTTGTCTAAGAACATCGCCTTTGAATCGTCTCTTCGATTTCGTTCTCGGATTCGCGAATGGACAAAGAAATCGAGGTTCCTCCCTTCTTCCTTTGCCCGATCTCTCTAGAGATCATGAAAGATCCTGTGATTCTCTCCTCCGGAATAACGTACGATCGAGACAGCATAGAGACATGGCTGTTTTCCGGCAAGAACAGGACTTGTCCGGTCTCCAAACATGTCGTGCCGGCCGACTCAGATCTCACACCGAACCACACTCTCCGCCGTCTGATCCAGTCTTGGTGCATTCTCAACGCTTCTCACGGCGTCGAGAGGATCCCGACTCCGAAGCCTCCCATCTCCAAATCCGAGATCGAAAAGCTGATCCGAGAATCGGGATCGTCGCATCAAGACCAGGTAAAGATCCTCAAAAGACTTCGTCAGATCTTGTCAGAAAACACCGCGAACAGACGGTGCTTAGAAGCCGCGGGAGTTCCGGGGTTCTTGGCCAAGATTGTGGGCGAATCTATCGATTGTTACCAATCTTCCCCGTCGCCTTCTACGTCGAATCTTGACGATTTGTGTCACTCCAACATGGAAAACGGGTTTGATCATTCGAGGAGTTTGATTGATGAAGCCCTCAGCTTACTCTACAATCTCGAGATATCGGAATCAGGCCTCAAGAATCTTCTAAACAGCAAGAACGGTATTTATATCGTGGAATCGTTGACGAAGATCATGCAGCGAGGGATCTACGAGTCGAGGGCCTATGCAAGTTTGCTTCTCAAGAACATCCTCGAAGTCGCAGATCCAATGCAGATCATTACCCTAAAACCCGATATCTTCGCCGAGGTTGTCCAGATCTTGCACGACCAGATCTCGAACAAGGCGACGAAATCAGCCTTGCGGATCCTCGTTAACATATGCCCGTGGGGAAGGAACAGGCACAAGGCAGTAGAAGCCGGAGCGATCTCCGTAATCATCGAGCTTCTGATGGACGAAACCTTCTCATCCGAAAGGCGGATTCCTGAAATGGCAATGGTGGTTCTCGATTTGCTTTGTCAATGCGCTGAAGGACGGGCCGAGTTCTTGAACCACGGTGCGGGGATAGCGGTAGTATCGAAGAAGATACTTAGGGTTTCACAGACGGCGAGCGAGAGGGCGGTTAGGGTTTTGTTGTCGGTCGGGAGATTCTGTGCGACGCCATTCTTGCTGCAGGAGATGTTGCAGCTCGGCGTTGTGGCGAAGCTCTGTCTTGTTCTTCAGGTCAGCTGTGGGAACAAGACGAAGGAGAAGGCGAGGGAGTTGCTTAGGCTGCACGCTAGGGTTTGGAGGGAGTCGCCTTGTCTTCCAATAAACCTAGCTTCCTCATATCCTGCTTGAAAGGAGGAAAGATGCGGAAAGAATCAGTGAGAATCATCAGTTAAAAGACGGGTGGTTTTCAGTTATTACGAATTCCTTTTGTTTTCTTTTTTTTTTTGTGTAAAATGATTCTGTAGATAAAACATTTACAAATTGTTCATCAAAAAAATAAATGAATACACAAAAGATGATAATGTGGATACGTTAGTGTATCTTTTTCTTTTTTTATCCTGCCCACTTGTTCTCGTTCTTTTCATTTATGTGGTTTATCTCTTTCATTTAATTTATAAAATAAATAAATAACGACGACTATTGAGAGTGACATCAATCTCGCATATGGATTCAATTTCCCCAGGCTGAATATAATTTTTCTAAAATTAAATGAAATGAATTATAATTGAATATATAAATAACCTAAATAATGAAATGAAAATAATTTTTAAGTTTGTGGGTTTGATTCCTCCTCTCGGTTCAGTTGGAAAATGACAAGTCCCCTCTAGTCAAGGTGAGACTAGATCGTGAGTTTGATTCTTCCTGATGACAAGCTTCTTCCTGAACCGATCCGTTTCGGTTAGTTTACCTGCGCAGCTTGCCGGTGGGTGTGTGGGGTCGTGTGGATTTACCGTCCGCGATGTTGTGTCATTCGCCCGATCTTTCGAGGGGGGTTGCGAGGCGTTATGATGTCCAGCCCAAAGGGTTATAGGGTAGGTTCCCAACCGCTAAAAAAATAAAAAATTAAGCGAATATTTTTTTTTATGTAAACTGAATCTAAGTCGGCCCCTATTAGAACTCGGAAGGAGATGATAATTGTATTTAAAATGTAATAGATAGAAGTTTTCGAATTTGAAACCAGGGAAAACCAAAATGATCATTTGAGAAATATAAGATGCATGTGCATGTAGAACTGCGGCATGATTTTGAAGGATGCTAGATTTAAGTGATGACTAGTCTATAAGTTAATTAAAATTCAAAATAAGGAATCTTAATTAAATAATCAGAGTTCACATTTTATTTGTTTTATCGATTCAATGCACATTAAATTAGGTCAACTTTATATTGCAAGAATAATTTGTACTTGAACGCAAATGTTTATAAGGGATGCACCTCGATTTTAACAATCGTGGGAGATGGTGGTACGTATATGGACATATAACTGTCTCACTCGCAGGTGAGAGAAGGTATAGGAAATTACAAAAAAGAAAAATAATTTGAAAAAAAAATGTTTTTCATATTTTAATATTCCAAAATTAAAATTAGCGAAAAATAGATGCATTGGTGTTTTTCAAATAAATTTTAGAACTCCATAAAATTAAATAAAATCTTAATATTTCAAAATTAAAGTTAGCGAGAAAATAAATACATTTGCGTTTTCTAAGTCGTTATTTGTATTTCGTGGTCCTAATAACTCCTATTTGCGTATGGTTCGTATTTAAAAACGATACGCATATTCCTAACAACAAAATTCGCGAGTGGAATACAAATAAAATTCGAAATTTACGTACCCTTTATTTATAACTTATAATGTTGTCGTTTTCTTTTTAATTTTGAAAAGTTATTATAATGCTGGGTTTTCAGTCCATAATAAATATAAATGTTTCTCTAGACAAGCAAGGCACAAACAACGGTGAAAAAACGTGGGCAGCTGCAGAGATTTCAACTACCCACCACATACCATATAATATAATATAATATACGACCCAAAAAAATGAAAATATTCTTATTATATTAAATATAATATTGCTCTAAATGAATAAATGCATGTTTGATTAATGTGTTTGCATATGAATCTGACGTCAAAGAAATAGTCAGAATTTTCGAGCTAACGACGTCGCCGTCTAAATAGGGTTTACAAACTTAGACAGTCGGTCCCAATATCGACCACTTGTAGTTGAACGGTCCCAACATATTCATCGGACACGCAAAACGTGGACCATCGATCCCTAAGAGATTACTTTACATGCATACGTATGTTCGTGTAATGCATTTAGTTAATGTATTTTTTTTGTAAGAAAATAAAATATAAATCTAGCAATGTTTATTATATAAACGGCCCTAGGATATATATATATAGTGACATATATATATATATATGTATATATATATAGCATGAAAACCTCTTGTTCATCCTTTGATTGGGCGAATACCGGAGAACCGCGAGCTTCTTCAACGACGTCAATTCGATAAGAATTCCGAAAATTCAAAAGGAAAAGGTTGAAAACCAAACCAATCCCAAGAGACTGCTTCACATGCATACGTACATATAGTGTCTAAATTTAAAATATTTTTTTAAATCAAATAAAAAGCAAATAAAAGTCGTATTATTATTTTTTTCCAAGTTCATTTTATCGATTTATATAGATATATACAGTTAGTTATAGAATGAATAAAACACGATGTCTAATCCAATTCTTTAATTTTACTACAAGATGATTTGTTCTTCTAGATAATATGTTATTTTTGTCTCTTTTTTTTTATAATTCGGAAGTTCACCAGGTCTTTGGTCCGACTACATCTTCCAGAGGACCGAAAAAGTCCAGGTGAATGCCCCTTCCCACGCTTTGGTTTGAACCCATGGTGAGAACATACTTTGCATGTTCTCTCACCACTAAACCACCCAAACTTGGGTCATAATATGTTATTTTTGTCTTTTCTGTTAATGATATGAATACACGTAGAAATTGTTTTTTCGTAAATACTGAAAATCTATTAGAATATAATATAAAAATACGGATATTATTTATAAATAAATCATATTTTTATTGTATTTTTTATTGAACGCTTGAGGAAATCTCTTAGTTCACCCTTTCATTTTCGTCGATTCAATAAGGAATGGTGAAAGATAAATTCTCACAAGTTAACCTCCCCATGCTATTAATAAAACAATAATGTAATAAAGATAAAACCAAAAATAAAAAGGAATAATAATAAAGAAACCTAAATCTCTAAATTAGATATTACGTGACATATGACAAAACAAAAAGGATAGAAAAGGAAAATGTTGCACAAGGGAAAAACAAAAAAAGGAAACACTAAAAAAACTTATCCAAGAAGAAAGGAAAGACATGCATTTGTAAAATATTTTTATTAGTGATTTTAAACCAAACGTTCCCATGGTTTTTTTATTTAGGGTTTTTTGTAACATAATATATTAAAATAAATGTAGTTTTAGGGTTTCAATGTAATTATATCAGTCAATTTTATCTGAATTCGAAAAATAGGCTCGATCCTTTCATTTTTTTTTGTGTTCTCGAAAAAAAATTGTAAGATAATATAATATGGATCCCATGTGATGTTAGCAACAATACGCACACGCGCAGACACGTGGAGATGATTTTGAAGTTTGACCAACGAACTATAGTTTATATCTGAAATTACACGCACGTACGTACATATAGGAAAACTGAAAATGCACCAGATGATACCATTTATATGGATTAGATTTCAATAGATAAATATTGACATCGAATCGAACTGTACCCGATTCCATACGCATACGAGTGTGTATATATATATGTACGTTTGTATGTATATATCTGTATATGTGTAAAAACTTAGAAAGATTTTTTTTTCTATTTGGAAAATTGGAGGTACCTTACAAATATCATGAAATATTGCAGATCTTTGATAATTTTCAGGATAACAATACAAATACTTCGTAATGAAGATGTTTTAAATTAACGATTTTTTGTTAAAGATAAAGAATATATTTATAGGTAAAAAAAATAAATTTAATATAAACACATCATTTTCAAAATAATGTGCTAAAGAGTTTACTAACTTGTCGGATGAAACTGAAGACGAATTATGCATGGCATCGTGTGCGCGCACGTTTCTCAATAAGTTTATGTGCCAACTTTTGCCCACCGCGCATTATTACTTAATTCAGCCCAATAAATTTTATTTTTTAATTTCTAGATAATGTAAGTACAATATACATATATATATATATATATATATACGCACACATATATAATCAAACTAGTTGTTATCTAATCAAATGTGGGACTGTTAGGCGCAGGTGGTGGCCAGTTCGTCCGTTTGTAAGGGTAAGTAGTCAGTGGTCCCCAATGTATAAAAAAAAAAATTAATTTCTAGTCAATGGATGATAATATGATATGCATCATATATATATGAATGTTGCACCTTAACACGTGTGCATGAGGCATTCTACTTGTCTAGAAATAATTAAAAACGCATCATTTGTGTGCAAATAAACATATAAATTTTGAAATTTGAATGTTGAAATCTTACAATGCGATCGAACTCTAAATCAACCATAAAAGTTAGTTTAAAATAGAGATTCAATTTTTTTTTTGTATATTGGACAAGATTTTTATGCTACGATATCATTTTTTATACATTCTATTATTCGCACTAAATCTTTTTATCTATATATATAAAAAAAAAAACTCGTTCAAAACACACTAGCTAGGTTATGAATACAAACCCTAATTTTACTACAAAAACTAGATCAATCATAGAGATTCAAGCTTTATTTATATATTCAAAATAATTATCATATTTTTTTTTTGAAAAAAAAACACTAAAAACTAAATATTTCCCAAAATTTTTAAAAATTATCCACAGATTGATATAGCTCAACTTGTTGGGACCAAAGATCTTCCCAATCTCGCCTTGGGAGAGATACCTTAAATGATAATTATCCACAACCTTTATGGGGTTTCATGGAGATGTAAATGGGCCAAAAGGAGATAGCATTCCATATAATTATATATTAATAAATTTCATCGAAACATTTTAATCTATCGGTTTAGGTAACAGAAATTTACCATTTAAAATTTGTTTTTCGTTATTCGTTTCGTTCCTGTTACTATTATCGCACGTACCATGCGCCATTACTATTAACGCATTTCTATACGTGCCACCATGCCATTGCAAGATGCGGTACATTATACTTAACATAAATAACAATATATAACAAGCATTCTATATATATGGCCAAATCATAAATCTTCCGTCCATTTTATTTTGTCGAATATTGATAATAAAACTTAAACATATGGATGTTTTAGATTTTGACGGACTCAATAAAATTACCAAAATACCCCTGAAAATCAATAAAATTCAAGATTTCCTCAAGATTTTGTCGGATTCGGATACCATCGAATAATTGAGATTAGCGTCGGATACAGAACGAGATAATATTTTTCTAAAATTCGTGAAGACAAATAGGAAGTTGAATTAATACCTCAAAAAATCACAATATTTTACGAACTATGAAAAATCTGATCAATCACAATTTTTTTTTTTTGTATAGCGTTGTAGCAATTTGACCAAAAAAAGAAAAATCGGTCCTATGTGTGGAAGAGCCAAACCTCCACTCCATGTTCATGTACCACACGTGACGGCAATAAATCACTCAAAAGCTCCTTTTTATGTCCTTTTTTTCATAATAAAAGTCCAATTAGGAATCAAAATATACCAACCTTGATCATTTGAGGTTCAAAATGGTAAAATCAAAGAATGGTTATATACAGTAATTAAATAAATTAGAGCAGACAGCTTCTGTGTCATTCCTAAAATTTTGTAAACTTCCCTTTTCTAGTAATCAGCAAAATAACTCTCTCCCACAAATCAGTTTTGTATAATTAATAAAATAAATCAATTAGCAGGAAGTTGTGTTGTCTAACGATAAAAACGTAATTTTGCTTGACAATAAAATCATTACTTTTTTTTTTTTTATCTTTTATAAGGAAGTTCTGTTTAAAAAATTAACTTGGCATTTGTTATATGTTCGTGGATTTATGAACTGTTATTCCTAGCTACCTACTAAACATGTGCTATTACTAGAGACGGTCATTTCGAATTTCGGTTCCGATTTGGTTCGGTTATATCTAGATTAAGTTATTCTCGTTATAGAAAAATTATAACCATTTAGTTTTTATATCAAATTCGATTCGGTTTAATTTTGATTTATTTTTTATTGGTAAAAAATTCTTTTAAAAAATTTGTTTATTTTTTATTCGGCTCGATTTCGGTTTTTTCAAATTTAGAGAAGTCATGACCGTTCGATTTTTATATGTGATTCAATTCAGTTACAATTCTATCTTATTGGATCCAATTATTCGGTTAATAACCAAAATGGCTTACAGTGATTACTAGAAACAAAATTTAAAATATAATGTATTTCAATGATTTCAATTTGTTCTATAAATAATCACACAAGAAATTGTTTTATGAAAAATAAATAGTTCATTCTTACTATATTTGACACGGGAAATTGTGTATGAGAGCATTTGAAACTCTTGAAAATGTTATTTCTCTCTTATTTCTTGTTTCATAAGATTATATATATATATATATATATATATATATATTCTGAAAGGGTTATATTAGAAGTTATATGACATTTCAAGAAAAGATCGTAACATTTCATGTAAACCCATTTATTAGTATGTTACGTGAAAACGTTATGTAGTATATCATAAAAGATTAGGAAATCTTTCATACATAAAAATCCATAACTATATTCATTAAGATTTACATGTTATTTCGTTAGCTTTTAATAATCCTTTTACGAGATGAAAGTTATCAACACATATTTGTACCCTTGATATAAACTCCTTTCACACCTCATATTTTACACAGATAAGAATTTACAATATGAATTTACGCCAGAGATTAACCGAGTTTAATCGTTACTCTAAAATATCCAAAAAATTTCTCATATCCAATCTTATGGTCTTATATAAAAACCAAAGTATAATTATGTATCATAGGCTGGTGGACAAAAAAGTACACACACACATACACACACATATATATATATATATCATCCATGGGCTGAGAAATCAAAAGGGCTCCAATTACCGAACAACAAGTTCGTGGGATCGTCCCGCTCATTCCCGAAATGAACCACCGGTTCATGCACTCCCTGAACCGGAACCATACCGGTTTGGTTATTAATCAACAACGAATCCGACCAAACTCCATGACCTATAGTGACCAACTCCTCACCGGGCAATGGAGGCAACCCAAAATTGCATTCTTGGACATTATTTTGTTCTTCACTCACGTACAACATCGGATGCTGATAATGTTGACCATGATGATGACTGTTGGTTTCCGAACTCCACGTGGAACCTAAAGAGGCATTTTTAGGGTTTTCAACTTGGACCAAAATTCTTGGCGTAAACAGCGGCGAGATCGATGTTTGGTCCGACGGAGGCAGAGCTACAAGACTCCACATGGGCATTGTTATTAGTACAAGACCCACCTGTCGGATTCTTACCGGAGGAGGCAGAGGAGGATTTGGGCCGGCGGTTTTTCCGGCAGGCGGCGCCCA